TTTTTAAATTATCAATACTCTAAATACTCTATTTTTATAATGTTTATTTAAATTTTGTAACATATATTTCTATTTTTAGACTAATACAGTATTTCTCGGGTATAGGGAAATAATATGTGTGAAAACTTATTGCTTATATACCGAGAAATACTGTCATAACTTTTAAGCGAATGAATGATTGCGTAAATTTAATTGAATGAATGAATTTATTTTTAGTGTACAATTACTATACATTTGATTAAATTTGATTTTAAATTACAAAATAAATAAAAACATTGTTTTTAGTAAATAATTAACAATTTATTTGCGCCGCTTATGCGGTGACGGAGACCTCCTTTTACGCGTAGGGCTTCGCGATCGATGGCGTGCTCTGTCGTGATCTCTACTGCTCTTTCGTGGCGAACGGGATCTGCTTCGAGATCGCGAACGTCTTCGACTTCGCGGCGAATGTCCACCACTTCGACGATCGGCTTCCAAGTCGTCGGAGTTGTCCTCTTTCTCTCTCTTCAAGAGTTTACGTCTGTATTCTTCGACCATTTGAGAGACAGTGTGTCCCGACTTTCGCGACCGTTTGCCCGATTCGAGTTCGTCCTGATATCGAAGTACTTTCACTTCGATTTCACGCAATTTCGCGCGTTTTGACGGATTATTGTTCGAGAGCTCGTGTTTTAGCGCTTCCAAAAACATCGATCCGCGACTATCTTCACCGCTTTGAGTCGGCGACGGATCAAATGGTCTGTTCATTCATTGGACAATACAAACAACACATTAGTATTACAATAGTAACCGTCAATTAGATTTCATTCGACACATACTTGCCATCGATATCTTCGTTGTCTTCGTTCGTCTGTTCCAATGTCTCCCATTTGGATGTAGTCATAGCCTGCGCCTCGACTACGTCCGGGTCCACTGTTTCCCATTTGGATGGCTTAAACTTAGGCAATGACGCGCTGTCGGCGCTTATAATCGGCTCGCCGTCGATATCAATGGGAACGCCATCGATGTCCGCCTCACCGATGGGCACGCCGTCGACATCGTCTTCGTTCTCACTCTTGGGCTCGACTTCAGCTTCGCGTTGAACTAAACCCAGGAATATATTCTGCAGTTTAATGAGAAAGTCTGGCGAATAGATGGCCTGTTCTTCCCACGCCCTGAAGCACGCCATCACTCGTTGCTGTTTAACCACAGAATAAACCAATTTTAATATACATTCAAATAAAGGGTTCAAACAATTCAATTACTTTGAAGTGTTCGGCTTTAAGTCGGCCTTCGATGTCGTTATAACAGTCGTGAATGTCATGAAATATCTGATTAAGTCTCGACTGAAAGCCTTTGCGAAAAAAGCTAACGTTCGTCACTTTGACGGAACAGTTGTGCAGAATGTCTGAAATGAGGTAAAGGCGTGCGATCTTCTTGTAGAGCGGCGTCTCGACGATAGACAACGATTCGGCGATACAGTCGACAATCTCTTCGGCACTTTCCGAGTGATCGATACAATAGACCATCGTTTCACATATTTTACTCTTCTGTGGGGTTAGATTGCGGAGCATGTCTTCCAGTTTGTCGCGTTGTGTTTCGCTTAACATCCCTTTCTTCGACTCCTGACGCGCTTCCCGTCGTTCGGGTTTACGCTTCTGTCGCTCCACGCGTTCGGGCGATGGCGGCGGCGACGCCTCCACTAACTCTTCGGGCATTCCCTGAAGGAATGGGTTGAGTGGCGGGGGTTTCCACACGGAGCCGTTTTCAAACATACGAAACTCTTCGGTTCGCCATTTAGACGGATGTTCGCCCTATTAATGGCACTCAATGTCACCACAAATACATCAAAACCTATGTTTAGTTTCATTACCTGAAGCACTGAGAAGAGTCTCCACCGATAGTAGACGTGCGCCGGACTCTGATTGTCGAATAGGAAACGAAACGTAGGATTACTGATCTCGCGGTTCATAATCATCGCCTCAAACATCGGTCCCTCTCTGACCACAAACTCCACCATTCGGTGGATAAGACAGAGTAGAGTGCGATCTGTGGGCACAACCACTTTGACGATAGAGTTTTGCAGCATTTTCTCGAAGTTCTCCTTATCGTTCCACTGATCCCGAGGAATGGTCTCATTCGGGTCGGGCTGAGCGTTGAACGGGAGTCCGCTCTGCGGCGGAGGCATTGTTAGCTCCATCAGCGCCGGTGGTATGTAAATGGGATGCGGAGGAATGGGCACCGCTTTACCCCAACCCAACTTCATCTCGTACTCCATAATCTCTTTACCGTTGAGTGTCTTAAGAGCGCGTTCGCCGTCTTTGCGGTTCATGAATGCGACGAAACCGCAGTTGCGATTGCGAGAGCGCTCCTCATCACTGCGCGGCCACATTATCTTCACCGAAGCCAACGGTCCGTATTTGCCAAATAACTGACACAACTGCGGTTCAGTCATCTTTGGGTTCAAATTTCCCAAATATATGTTCGTTGTGTTCGGGTCTCCCGTATCGAAAGAGCCCAACGTTGGTATCCGGTAGTCGTCCGCTGAACACATATATCGATAGACAACACATTAACAATCGTAACAAAAACAAAGAGTACCGCAAAAAAACTCAAACCGAGTTTAACGCCGACTTCGGCCGCTTCGGTCTTAACGGCCGGCAGTTTAACGCCCGACTCCTTCATCTGTGACTTCAATCGATGCCTTTCTTCGCGTTCCTCTTGAATCAGTTTCAGCTCTTCCTTAAAGAGCTCCAAATTGCTCTTCTTCTTCACCTCTGACTTCTTTTTGGCCGGTTTTTCGCTTTTAAACAACGGCTCATACGCTGAGGGCTTCGCCGACGAGTCCATCGACTTCTTAGTCTCCAATTCATGTAATTTATTCGGTTTATAGAGTTTTCCCGAAGAATTCGACGACAACTCCTCTGTTATGGACACAAATACAGAGACAATAAAGTGGTTAATAAAGTGGCTGAAGAATGGGTTACTGGAGGCAGACCTCCATTGGCAGAGTTGATGACATTTCCTCTCACGAATTTGGTCTGTTTGGGAGTGTCTTCGAAGGTCTCGACGAAGTCCTGGTATGCCTTCGCGGCCTCGACTTCGTCCTGAAGTTTCTTCTGTTTCTCCAAATCCTTTTTTCCCAACACTTTCTTCGCCGCCGAAGAAGACAACGAAAATGCCTTCACTTTTCCTAATTGTGACTATTGTTCACACATTTGGGGAACCAATCAATCAATGAATCATTAATTATAACCGATATGTCATACCATTGTTGCGGATGTGTTGACCAGTGATCACATAATGAGACAATCGGTGTCTTAATGTCAACCAAACTCTCATTCAATCCATTGTTTACACATTTATTGAGTGCTATTAAGGGATCGTATAGTCATTACATCCCATATATAGACAACTGAATTCTTCACTGAATTTGCCATTTATTTGTTGATTATCTCTTCACTACTGATTGTGGTCTCAATGAAGGGATCAAATCACACTTCTGGGTATTTGGAAAGTGGGTAATATCTATGAGATAATTAATAAACGCGCCCTTTATTCTAACAAACGTTCACTATATGAAGCATAATATTGACATAGTCTCATAGATATTACCCACTTTCTAAATACCCAGAAGTGTCATGTATTTATAATATTTTTGTCAATTTTTACAAATCTTTATTTAGTTGTAATGAATGAAAGTTTATAAATGAAATTGATTTGTAATTAATAAATTGTGTTAATTTAATAGGTTAGGTGTATAACACTATAAGTTATACAGTATAACCAAGGTGCTATCATACAGTATATGATTCACTAAATGGTTAACTCGTTGGTACATTAAACCACGTGAAGTGTATTATCATTTGTCTGTTCCCATAATATAAGAGATGAATCAGTCGTTTCCCTCCGCAGACATCACATCAAATGCAGAACTCATCCCAAAAACTCACGACAAGACATGTCTTAATAATCGTTAAAATATTTCCTAAACATTAAGCGATAGGAAAAAAGAGTTGAATTGAAAAACAAAAATAATTTTTAATGAAATTCTCTGTAAATTCCAGAATAACATGATTTGAGCTAAAAATATATGAATGCGAGAGACGTTTGTATTGTAGTGAAGGGTAGAGTAGAGTACTGTTCACTCCATGCCATACAATGTTATCATTTAATTTCTCAGAAGTCCTTAATAATAGGGTCTTAACTAATCATTAGTGAGGTATTCATTATAGAAAAATACGGCACCGGTTTGATTGTAACACAAAAACAATAAACATTGCGCTTAAATCTTATAACACATTAACTTTATTATTGACATTGAATTAAATGATTTCTTAATCGATGCTAATCTCACGGAATGAGTAAATGATTTGCCTAAAGAATATACTGTACTTTATTTGATGGCTTTATGAGTGTCTTTTGCGTTGAACCACAAGTTGTTAAGTATTAGACAAATAGTGATCTGATATTAGAATAACAGACATTATATAAGCTATTATTTAATACTGTATAAGACGTGAAGTTTATGTCCGTGTAATGGATTACATGAGAGAAAATTGCAGATCGTTTGCCAAGAATTGATAAAAAAGATTAAAATAATGATTACTTTCTAAGAAAGACTGCTTTTGTCTATAGAGATGTCAACGAAACTTGATTTGATGGCTGATCTAAAACTCATTTCATGCATTCATTCATAAATCT